GTGGCATTGTGACATACACTTCTTGCCAGAGTGGCTCCTTTTGTCACCGCAGTGGGAAGTTGGTCCTGCCACTCTGTCGCTGCATTGCCCAGCCTTTGCACGAGGCCCATGGCAACCTCCAGACTCCATCTGACCTCGTGCTTAGCCCTCTGGTCCGGCCGTGGCTTCGCCTCCAGCCTTTAGGGCCTCTGTTCCTACTTCCTGGGAGAATTGTTCCCACCTCTTTCCATGCAAGCTCTTACCTGCCCTTCAGGACCTGGGTGAGGCTTTGTCTGCCCTGATCTCCCCAAGAATGGGTCAGGTGCCTCCAAAGGTGTAGGCCACCTGCCCCCCATAGCTTCCTCCTAGTCAGTGGTCTCCGTGGGAAGCTTCAGTCAGTGGCTGAAGTGGCCATGGTGAGAGAGTATATTGCTGAAATAGCCAAAAACGACAAATCAGGCCCTTCCTGCCCCACACACCACGGGGTGCCCCCCGAGCATCTTGGTCCTCTAGCCCCCAAACTGTGGGTGACCCTCTGGCCCCTTCACTCTCCAGTCACCTGGAGATGGGCCTCATTCTGTGAGCCCTCCACCTCTAGCCCAGAATTGGCCCCGATTGGAGAGGCTTCGTAGTTTTGAATGGATGTGAGAACGATACCTCAGTGGTGATGTATCTCAGCTCCATCCAACCCTCCAAGTTAACAAACCACAAGCTTCCTGAGGCCCACACCTCCGCCAGCTACCCTGAACCTTCTGGTTTTATGCCGAGCCCCAACCTCTCCCTGGAGCTCTTTGAACCAGGGGCCCAACCGCACTATTCCCCGAGCGTCTCCCAGCCCCAGTCTCCAGAGGTCAGCCTGTTTGGTGTCAGCCAAAGTCTTGCCACAGAATGAGGATGTTATAGGGAAGCTCTGTGCTGGAAATGCACAGACTGGAGCTGAGGTGGTGGTCACAGCAGGAGAGGCCAAGTTCAAGTTCAGGAATAGTCAGGCCTCCCTTCCTCCCCCACATGAGGTAGGCATTCCTCTTACGCCCATTTCACGGATAAGGCACTGAGGCTTATATATAACTGAGGCATTGAGTGGCTACACAACTTGCCAAGATGTGATTCAGCCCTTGCTCTTAATCACCACCTTTTTTTTTTTTCCTATTTGGTTAACGGCCCGTCTGGGACTACAGGCTGAGGTCACGGATGGAAAGGAAATGAAACATGCCAGTAATCCCAGGAGCATTCATCTCTCCGCGTGGGCCCACAGTTCCAGCCTGTTCTCCCACCTGTTCTCCCCTGACCCTTGATTGCGAGCTCACGCAGGGGTGGTGAGGGTTAAGCCAGAGTGGTACCTGGGCGGGGGTCAGAGGTCCACAGTCGTCAGCTGTCATTTTCATGGTGGTGGTGTTGTTCTAGGAGGAAATAGTGCTGAGGAAGGAATAGTAGAGTCTGTGGGAGGCAGGGGAAGCAGTGAGCAAGGGCCAAGTGGGCAGCACTTTCCTGCAAAGGGCTTACCTGGTCCCAGGTCTCTGTGCTGTCACGAAAGTGGCCACAGGCACTAGGCCACCAAGACGTGGCCGTGAGACGAGGGAAGTGTGCTTCCCATGCTGCGCAGGCGGTGGTGGATTCACCTGCGGCCGCGCCCTGTCCCCCTCCGAACAGACCACCCGGCAGCCAGTCCGGTGCGCGGTGAAGCAGAGCCTTGCCTATCAGCGGACAGGGCACAGGAAGAGATGTCTTGCTGCCGCCTTCATGTCTCCATCACTGTCCGAGTTGTAGGGGCTCAACTCCTTTCACTCGTACCTCTGATAGCCGTGGGCCAGGGCACTGACCTGCTCGGGGCACTGGGGATCCCCCAAGTAAAGACAAGCAGGAGGTCATTTCTGGGAGCAGCTTGGGCCCCCGTACTCCCAGGCCAAGCTGGCTCCTGAGTGCAGAGCTGCGTCTCCAGGGAAGTCAGGCCTTGGCAACAGAACCTTAACCAGAGGCCGCCCTCACCTCCCTCTGCCACCCCAGTTCCCTTCTTTGAGAACTGGTAGTCCTGATGGACATGCACCCGACCCCACAGACTTTGTTTCCCTTGTGTATTTGTTTTGCTTTTCTGTCTTCTTGGGTTCGCCTGGAAACATCTTTAATGAGCCTCTCAATAAAAGCTCTAGGTTGACACTAAGGTGCACCCAGCCCAACCCTTCTCTGTGTTTATAGGGAAGCCCTCCCAGACTCAGCTATAATTAGAAGTCAATTAAATTAGAAACCCTTAGTATTGTTCTTGGAAAGCCTCCAGGGCTGCAGCTCTCCTGGGGAGAGCCTCTGGCCTGGCTGCGCTGCACTCATCCCTGCTACCCACCATCCCGAAGCCAGGGCAGGGCTGTCGGTCGGGCAGGGAGCGGGTTCCTTTGTTTGTACTGTACCCTCCCCACCTGGCAGGACTGCGGGTCAGGCCTCCCTGTGCCTCCTTCCCTGCCTGCCCCAGCTTGCTCCGTTGCTAGAAGGAAAACACCCAGAAGTTCACTGCTGGGGTGGCTGGGTGCTTTAATCTTGCCTTAGTCCATTTAGTGTGTTTCAAACGTAAATGTGGCACTGAATTATAGACAGCAATCATGCTAGAAAGCGAGAAAAAGTAGCTTTTGTATCTCTTCAAGAGTTTCTGGAAACCTAACCCTTCCCCAAAGGCCCCCTGATGTTACTCACAGGTGAGAACACCTCCAAGGTAAGCAAGGAAAAGATCCCGGAAAGATCTAGGCCCCCGGGGCCCTACCCCATTCCCAGGTGTCTCCAATGGGGCCTCTGTCTCTGGAATCACCCTTGGGACATCCTTCTCAGCCTGTTCTCAGAGCAATCAGATGCTTCTTCCCAAAGCGAAATGTCTTTACTGACTTTTTTCCTGATCACAAAGTTCACACCTACACTGGTACATCATTCTGACACTAAGAACTGTATGGAAAGGGAGCCTTCCCCATAACCCCCTCGGTCCGTGGTCACCCCAACCCTATTTCACCCCTGCCAAAAAAATCTTTGTTGAAAAGTTTGTGGATATCACTCCAGACCTGCTTCTGTGTATACAGAAGCCTTTACAAATACAAACCCAGAGCTGTGCCATGTGATTTCTTGTAGAGCCCCTCACGGTGTTACACAGAACTGATGTTCCATTGGAATTTTTGCTCCTTGTGATGATAAACAAGCACAATATCTTGGATTTTATCCAACCTCTCCTTTTGGGAAGGGTGAGTGCTGGCTGCTCCACATCAGGGGATGGGATGGGGGTCACCGGTGTCCTCCCAGAGGAAGCCACAGCCGCCGTTCTCAGGAGGACACCGGAAGCTGGAAGTTGGACAAAGCTCTTTGGGTCTGTCCTTCACTGGCCTCTCCTACATATTTAGGTATAGGATGCTTCTCCTAAACGTGCATTCTCCCTCCAAATCTCACTGAGCAGGATGCTGAGTCCTGGGCGATTTGGAAAAGAAGATTTGTCTGTACATTCACAGAGCTTCCTTCCCCACAGGCCCCCGGGCCTCCAGCTCACTGGGCCTGCTTTCCCCATTCTGGGTCCTTCCCGACTCCTGACTTCTCGGCCCTTCCTCTTCTTCCAACTCCACTTCATTTCCAATAAATGATCTTCCGACTGCTTTGCTCCGTAATGCCTTTAAGATATTGTATTGAACGGGGGCACGTGGGTGGCTCGGTCGGTTAAGCGTCTGACTCTAGGGTTCGGCTCAGGTCATGGTCTCATGGCTTGTGGGATCGAGCCCTGAGTCTCCACACTCCACGGGAATCTACTTGGATATTCTCTCCCTCTCTCTCTCTCTCTCGTAAATACATAAAAACAGAAAATAAAATGCTTTAAAAAAAAAAAAAAAGATACTGTATTGAAGAACAAAGTTCAGGGCTTTTCTCCAGAAACAAGAATGGTTTTCCCATTCGTCGGGTCTCTTGCTTCCAACTACCCCGCACAGTCTTTTTTGTGTGGTATTAGGAGTTATGGGTTTCCGTGAGCAGAGACGGCTCAACGAGATCAAGAGGGTTCAGAGGGTTAATGTTCTTGGGGGGTGCTTCCCAAGGCCCAGTCTGACTCCTGAGTCCATGGTTTATTCTAGAAATTTCCTCACACAATCCAGCCATTGGAAGAGGGCCTGCTGTTTTGTCTGGAATTCACTCCCAGTGTCAAAGCAAGACAGCAGTGACCCAGCAGTGGCAAGTGAGGGATGTGGGCGCTCCCACGGGACTGCCACTTGTCTTTGTACAGTCAGGCTCCCAGGTAAAACTGCTTTCAGTTAGAAACACAGGCCTGCCATCCTGACGATGGAAAGGTGACACACAATACCTCCTCCTTCAAAGCAGTGCTTTGATTTAGCAGCTGGAGAAAGCACCTGAATATCGGGCCACAGCCACCCTCTGTCCATTAAGTGGCTGTGTGGCCCTGGACAAGTCACTACACCCTCTGGGCTTCAGTTGTCTTGGCTATAAAATTAAGTGGTTGGCCTTGTGTACTCTCTTAACGCTTTGATCACAGCCTATTCTCAACAGGGAGAGGAAGAACCTACCAGCGGGGCTGGGAGGATGGGCAGTGGGATGGGGAGGGGCCGGGCCAGGCTCTGAGTCCTGGTAGTATCTCCAGGGGTGCCCCGGAGCCTGAGGATTTGGACCCGCCTGGAGCACCCCTTCACACTCTGTGTAAAGCCAGGCTTCTTCAGATGCTGTGAGCAGGTGAACATTTGGTCATCGTCCTGTCTTCCACAGTAGGCCCTCCATGCACTCTAGTCCTTTCTCCCTGGGAGGGGTGTGACACTGGCGGGGCCATGGATAGAGTCAGCCCAAGGGGCCTGGGCCTCAGCTTAAAACCCGCCTTTTCTTTTAGGGTGTATTCACTTCCTGCCCCGCTTTCGGGGAGGCCCCTCGCCCTCGGTGGGACATGGTGGAGGCGGCCGGACTGAGGGTCGGGGCTGGGCGGTGGCCAGTCCGTCCTGGAGCGGCTCCGGCCGTGCAGGTGCCAGGGTGCCATGAAGTGTGTCTTTCAGGCAAAGCGGCGGGAGCAGATGGCCCACGCAGGAGACGGCAAGCGGGTGCCCTGGCTCCCCGTGCTGGTGGTAAGTGCAGCCTCCCCCTGTGAGCACCTGCAGTGGCCCCGGAGGAGGCTCCGGCGGGAGCGCCTCTACCTCCCATGCTGCCGGAGGTGGCCGGTCCCTTGGCCTCTTCCGCGTCAGTCTATGCAGCCATGCAATGGGATTGATGCTGCCAGCAGCCCCTCACCGGGCTCTTCCGAGGGTGCAGAGCACTGAGCAGCACCCAGGTCAGACTGGACTTCTTGGTGGCTCCCTTTCTAGGGTTCCATGGATAGAAAGATCTTTAAATGCTTCTTTGTGTTGCAATATACACAACCCAGCGGCTGTTGGTGAGCACCATGCCTGTGGGTCCCCCCGCTGAGAAAGATCCAGGATTCTGGCGGAGAAGAGGCCACATGTGACAGAAATCCACTGTTCTGGAGGCTCTGGGAAGAGGGCCACCTCCTCCATGACTTGGGGGAGGGTGGAAGCAAAACTTCGTGGGTGAAGGGCGTTTGGAACAGGCCTGGAAGATGAGATGGAGTTTTGAGGGAGGGGTCAGGGGGACCAGCAGTGAGGCCAAGTGGCAGGAAGTGGGATGGCCTGCCCAGTTTATTAGCTGCAGTTACTGGGATCTGGCACCACATGAACGCCAAGTGACTAGCCGGTCCCCCACCCAGGCTCCTTCCCCTGCAGCGCCTGCTCAGGGTGCCCACCCGAGTAAGCGTGCATGTCTCCAGGGAGGCACGGAGGCCAAAAGGACACCCTTTCTCCTGGCAGGTGTTGCTGCTGTGCTCGGCCAGAGCAGAGTATTCCAACTGCGGTGAGAATGAATACTACAACCAGACCACGGGGCTGTGCCACGAGTGTCCGCAGTGTGGCCCGGGGGAGGAGCCCTACCTGGTAAGGCCCCTGCCAGCCGCCCCTGGGCCCCGGGGAGCTCTCCTCCGGCACACGGGTGGGGTCACCATTGCGTGTATATCGCTCTACGTGTGTCCCCAAGCTAAATCAGGCCGGTCGCCCGTGGGCCTCAGGTGCCACGTTAAAGGGTTTAAGCAGCAGTGAGCACAGGAACAGTGCTTCCCTGGTGTGAGAGACGGCCGGGCATTTGTAACATTTTTTTTTAGAGGACAACCATTTTCCTACTCGACCTTGATCAGACGGGTTTCAGGGCATCTGAACCAGAGGCATGACTAATGTCCTGCAGTAACGGCATGCTGACTCCTGAGCGCGGCGTCGCCCTCTCCTGCAGGGAAGGCTTAGCATGTTGTTAAGGGCTAAGAGAGACGCCCCCAGCATCAGCATTCAGGGCTCTTGTAGAGAGTCAAGCACGTCAGAAGCCACGGGCTGTGTCACTGGCAGGTCATCCCCTTAGCTGGCTGAATTTATTCAGGGACCCTCGGGAGCAGGGCAGCGTCTGAAGCCCAGGAGCACTGGGGAAAGGAGCTCAGAGTTGGAGGCACGGGGGGTTTGCCGTTAGGACAGGTCAGGGAACCAAAGCCCAGCAAAGAGAAGCTTCTGGAAACAGCCAGTGTGCCCGGCGTGTACAATGCACCCAGTGTGCCCCAAGGACTGCAGGTCCACTCATGGCAGGTACAGCTGGCGTACTCACCTGTGTTCCTCTGTCCTGTTCCTCGGCCAGTCCTGTGGCTATGGCACCAAAGATGAGGACTATGGCTGTGTCCCCTGCCCGGCGGAGAAGTTTTCCAAAGGAGGCTACCAGATATGCAGGCGCCACAAGGACTGCGAGGGCTTCTTCCGGGCCACGGTGCTGACGCCGGGGGACATGGAGAATGATGCTGAGTGCGGGCCGTGTCTCCCTGGGTAAGCATGGCCACTGCCAGGCCTCACCCCAGGATGCTTTCTGCAGAAAGCCCTGAATGTCTCATTGGCGAGGCCCCAGGGAACGTGAGCACCTCAGACTACAATGTAGCGTCACTCCTGCTGGCTCTACAAGGGGCAGCTCCACAGGGAGGGGGGCACCTGTCTGGAGTCAGGAAGCATGGGGTCTAGGATGGCCAGTCCTGCACCTAGAGGATGGGCAGCCCACCCAGGCTCAGCTTCCATGTCTCTTAAGTGGATGTTAGTCATAATCGTAATAATATCTTCTGACAACCCAAATCAAACAAATTTGTTGAATACTTTAAAATAAGACATGTGGAATGCTTTGAAGAAAAGAAAACTAATATGCTGTATAATACACTAAATCTAGTGTTTTTGTATTCTGGAAAAATCTGAGGGTAAAGGCTATTAATAGGAATATGTGAATCATGTGGTACCTATAATTCCACCACAATTTGGTTATGTATCAAAAGTTTTCCCAAAAAAGCAAAGTGAAAATGTAGTTAGCATGGAAGAAAGATAAAATCTTCCTTCTGACAGGCAGGACACATTAGCAAGTTCTGCCTGGGAGAGGGAAGGGCAGCCTTGACACCCAGGATCTACCAAGTCACGGCTCTTGCTGCTGCCTCCCCCTAGTGGCCACACAGCACAGTGCTTGCAAGGGCTCCAGATAAAAACAAAGCAGTGACAAAGGCCACGGGGTGGTAGAGGTGATATAGGTGGTACAGGTAGGTGGTGGTGGTGGTGGTGATGGTGGTGATGGAGGCAGGGGTGGTGATGATGGAGGTGATGCTGG